CCAAAATTTATTTGTGGTTATCTCCCATTTTTTATTATAAATGATGCTACAACAGACTTTGCACATACTAACTTATATTCTCTTGTGGGAATATTATAGATTCCTTGAGGAGAATCTGTTAGATCAAAGCATGTTTTTAAAATTTTTTACAGGCTCTGCCAAATTGTTATTTGAAAAGGTAGATCCAATTTGTGTTCCCAAAAATGTATTAGGTGCCTTTTCCTCCACACCCTTCACTATCTTTTAAATTTTGCATGATAGCTCCCACTGAAAAAAACTGGTTGTTTTAATTTTCATTTCCCTAATCACAAGTGACATTGAAACCCTCTTCACTGCTTTGACTCTCACTTCTTTGAGAACTACTCCTATCCTCCATTCATTTCTTAATTGTATCAATTCTGTTTTTCTTTAACTCTTTAAACATGTTACAAATTTTTTTCCTGTCACCTTGAAATGTCTTTTGTCACACAGAAATGTCAACTTTGATAATGATTCAAATTTATCACTCCTTTCCTTATGATTTTGGGTCTTTGTCTTACCTTAGTGGTCTACAAAAAAATCAGATTTTCCAACATAATATAGTCTCCCGCATAATTCCCTTTTACTCTAATATCTTTACAGTTGTTTTTGAGTTAGTTCTTTGAGCCAAATAAAATTCATCTTGAATGTGTAGAAGTAAAATCTTTCTTCCCAGTCATTTATCCCTGCACAGTATATTGAATAATCAATTCCCAACTGTATTCAAAATGCCAACTTTATTCAATCCTAAATTCCCATTATATAAATGGGTCTGTTACTGGATTCTATCCTTCCGTGCAATAATTTATCTATGCTTGTGCTCACCATTTATATCAGTGTAGCATTACAGTATGTTTTAAGATCTGTTATGGCAAATCTTCCATCACTATTTTTCCATCTGAAAAATTCCCTGACCATTCTAGCACATTTCCTCCTCCAGATGAATTTTAGAAGCAATTAATCAAGTGTCCAAAGATAACTCTCACGTGGATTTTATGTGAAACTACATTAAATTTACAGTTTAATTTGTAGAATATTTCAATGTTTACAATAATGCTTTCCCCTCCAGTAACATGTATGCCTGCCCATTTATTTAGGTTAGCTTTTAAATTGTTCAGGTAAAGGTTTTTCTTTATAAAGCTTTTCGGCATTTGTTTCATTTTTAAACATCTTCTAGTTCTGTTGCTCTTGAGAATCAAATCTAACCTTTCTGGAGGAGTAATTACAAACTATTTGATTATTAGTGACAGCAGACATATTTGCACACATTTAACAAATTATAGCTCTTTCCAGTGAACTGTCTGTCCACATCCTGTAACCACTTGTGTGTGGACTTTTCTTATTTTCCTCATTGATCTGAGTTCCTTACATGCTTAAGATATTAAGCCTTCACTTATGATTGTCACAAATATTTTCCTACTTTGTGGTCTGGCTTCTAATCTTAGGGTTTTGTTTTCCCTCTCTTCTTTAAGAAGTTTTAAAATTTTTTTGTAGTCTAATACATTGATTTTTTTAACTAATAACAGATCCGAACACCCGAGAAATGCCAGGACCTAGACCTCTTCCCCTCACAACACCTGCACAGCAGGTATTATTTTCCTCACTTAGAAGATTCTAGTTCAGGTCTGATTGCAAAGTCTTTGCTCTGTCCACCTCAACACACAGAACCCTCTCTTCCACATGTTTAATATCTACTTCCACATTTTCTTTATGATTTAGGGGGCATTCATGCTGATTTAACATTTACTATATTCCCATATATATTTTTGGGGTGCTGAATAGGTTCTAGAGACCCATACAGATATTGTAAAGCCAGCATAACACTGTTTTGAATGGGGCTCTATAACATGTTTAATTATCACAAAGGATTTGTGCCACCTCATTACTCATAATTATTCTGTCTAGTTCATCCCACACGGATAGCTTTATAATGTCTAAACATCACATCCAGGAATATGGTTTTTCATTTAAGACATTCTTATCTTTCAGGATCATTTACAGGGTCCTCCATGCAGACTGCACTTGTCTCAATAAAGCTGTACTTACATGTTTTATGTTTTTTTGCATTGTGATCAGAGCCTATTCTTTGGTTGGTTCTTTTCTTTTCCATTTTAGTTTATGCAGGTTATTTCTGGTATTCAGAGAGTTATGAATTTTATATATGCATTGTGTACCCAGTCACTTACTCAATTTTTATTTGTATAATAGTTTGTTATTCTCATTTTTGTAGCCAATAGCATCTACAAATACTTCGCTTATTCTAATTTTAGATCCTTACCTCACTCTAATTTCATGTATTACTACTTTAATAAAACTTACAAAAGCAATGTTAAAGAATACCCCAATTTTTAATTTGACTCTGATAACTTTCTGTTAAGTATATTGTGAATAATTAGCTTAATATTTATGTGTACTTTGGCACAAAAAAACACCTACTTTTTAAACTAAGAAACAAGGAATTTTTTGTCTGTAGTTTAGGTGGCAGTTTGAATTCAATGTGAACTCCAAGGAAAAGATACTTCCCTTGCAGACTTCTGAAATGGCCTACCTAGTCTCCCCTACTTCTACTCTCCCACCACCGCCCCCACATTCTGCATGCAGCAGCTCGAGTGGCTGTTTAAAAATGCAAATCTGATTATGTCATTCTCCTGCTTCAGATCCAACGCTTGCAATGGTTTCCCATTTCACTGAAAATAAAATAAAACATCCTTAACCTGTCCTACAAGACCCTACATGATCTGGCCCCCTGCCTAGCCACACTTCCCTCTCACCCACCAGAATCTATCCACAAGTCATTCTTTCAGTTCCTGGAATGGGCAAAGCTCTCTCTCCCTTCAGGGCCTTCCCACATGCCATTCCCCTGCCTGGAAAATTATCCCCCATCATTCTACGCTAATGCCTACTCACCCTTCAGATCTCAGCTCAAATCTTATTTTTGCAAAAAAAAAAAAAAAAAGAAAAGAAAAGAAAAGAAAAGAAAAGAAAGAAAAAGAAAAAAAAGAAAAAAATATATATATAAAGTCTTTCCTGGGCCGCCTTTTCACAATCTAAAATTTGCTCTCCTTTTTATACTCTCTTATAACCAGTACTACTTAACTTTCCTAACAGATACCGTTTGTGATTATACATGCAGTTGTAGGATTGTATCATTTCTGGTTCCCTCCACCCCCATAGATTATAACCTTTAAGAGAACATGGACAAATTGATTATGCTGGCCACACCACAAGCATTCATATGTATTTGGATGAAATAAAAACACCTAAAAAACCCTTAATTGTATCTCTTACATCTTAAAACAACACCCTTTATATCAATCAATATTTAAACTGTTAAGACTCTTTTTGATACTGTCTGCAAATTCATTAAGAAAACATTTTACCCCAAGGACATAACAGCTAACCTGAATCTGATGCTGCCAAAGGAAAATACATACTTAAATTAGATCATTAGGAAATGTTCTGTTTAAATATGAGTTTTGTTTTATGTAGCATTCACTTCACCGATACTTTCTTCACAATCCACTATTTTATGTCTTATTTTCTAAAGTATGTAAAGCACTAGGAAAAACGTGTTTTGTCAAATACTCTTTAAGAAGTCTAACATATTAATGGTCCTTGATAAAAATTAAAGCAAAATCACAAATTAAAAGCATTCAAAGTTGGTGATCTCTATTATACTGTAACAGACACATTTGGTCAAAAAAAGTGTAAATTACATTGCAAGTAAAAAGTCCTTTTGGATCACAAAAGCTAATAAAACCAATATTTATATACTTTACATTCTGCAAAGCACTTTCACATGAAAACCTCATACCACTGAACTCTGTGGAGTAGACAGAGCAGGTATTATCAGCATTTATAGAAAAGAAAACTGAGGCTTAGACTGACTGTCCTCCTCAAGGTCAAAGGACTGGAAAGTACTAGAGTCATAATTACATTGGGGGAGGGGTAGCGGTCCCACATGTAAATGTCCTAACCAAAGAGAACTTCCATCCTAGAGGCCTGCGTCTGTAATTAGTGTAGATTTATGCTCCCTTCAACTGAAATTTCATTTCACCAGAGAACCACCACCCAAAGAGCTGCTTTAAATATAAAGTTAAAATTTAAATTGCCACCAATCTGGGAAATAGCTAAATTAACTAGGGGATACCCAGACTATGGAACATGATGCAGCAGTTCTCCAACACCAGTTAAGGCATTACATGCTGAAACTGAAAGATAAGAGTGCACTAGTACTTGTTAAAACGGTCAAAGATAATGCAAGTACACACACGGGGAAACATTTTATAAGATCTAGAAAGATACACATGGAACATGTAATAGTTATCATCTCTGGAGGCAGGGGTTGGCAGAGAAAGACGTCAGGTGTGTCTGGGATGTTTTAGTTTTTACCAAGAAAATTAGTTACTCTACCTATTTAAAACTAATCTTTTAAAATTTAAATTAACCTATGGATTGAACAGACAGGTCATTTTTCTGCTCTAAAAGCTATGCAACTATAAAGGAAGTCGGGGCCTCTCTAAAAGAGAAGACAAAACATATCAACAACAAGAACAAAAAAAAAAAAAACCAGCACAATCCTGTTAAAACAATAAACCACCTAAAGGTCGCAAAAACGTCCCTTTAAAAAAGCAGTAACTTAAATTATTTTTTAATACCTAGTCTTTGTTGCAGTAAGACAACCAGTCAACAAACCAGCCACTGGAAGAGTACGGAGCAAGCTCCTCCTAGAGAGATTGAGTTGTTAGAGTTCGGCCAGGAAGGTTTCACAAAGGAGCCGAGTTTTGAGGGAAATGAGAGGTGACTTGGCAGAGAGATGCGGGAAGAGTCATCCAGATGGGAAAAGGTCTGGGAGGTGGATATAGCGAGTTAATCGGAAGCGGGGGGCAGTAAGCAAACTGCAGTCGAGTCCTGAAAGAGGAGAGGATTCCTTTGGGTGTGGGAGTGGAGAGGGAGCTCGGCTGCGCGGCCATCCAGTTTACCTGGGTGAGAATCCGGCCCTTGTTGTGGTCAAACAATGGAGGCGTCCAGCGGCAGCGGCGTTCTGCGCTGGGTGCGCGAAGGGTTCCTCATCACCTGAGTAGGATGCTCGGCGGGCTCTGCTGGGACGCAGGGCGCTCTAAAAAACACAACACCACACCATGCAGCCGGGCTTCTCCGCGGCACAGCCCGGCTCCCTGCTCCCACGGCGCGGCCATTACCGCCTCTCCGGGGACCCGCCTGGAAAGGCTCCAAGGCGCGGCTTCACTGGCTTCTAAAGCGGTTTCGCTCCCCCTTCCCTCGGCTCCAACAACAATGGAGCCCGGCTCGGGAGTCCGGCTCCCGGGGGGCCTCCGCCCGGCCTCGCCCCTGCCGCTGCCCATCCCTCGCCGCGCACCCGGCCGCCATCTGTGACCCCCGCGCCCCGCTCCCGGCACTGCGGGCCCGCGCCGGCCGGCCGAGGCCCGAGGCCAGGCTGCCCTCCGTGGGGCCTTGCCCGGTGCCCGCCGGGCCGCCGGGCTGCGGGGGGCCGCTCTGACCTTCCCCACCGACGCCCAAGGGCCGGCCCCCGCGCGAGGCCCATCCTAAGTGATGGGTTGTTTTTCTTTTCTTTAACCCACTCATCCTCCTTCCAACCCCGAGCCAGCTCCCCTTTCGCCCCCAGCCCCCGCCTCGTTCCCGAAAAGAAACAGAGAGACTGCAGCCCGGCCGCCCGACAACTCACTCCAAGTGAGGGGTTGAAGCGCCCCAGGCCGCGGGCTCCGCGCACCCACCCTCCCTCTCCTCAAGGGACACCTCACAGGTGCGCCTCCGAGCCGCGCGCGCGCGCTCCGCACACCCCGACGCCTCCGGGGGACAGCGCGCGTGCGCACGCACGGGGCCGACGAGCCCCGGGGGAGCGGGTGCCGCACGCATGCGCGCCGTCCGGCCCTCGCCCCGGCACCAACCCCCCCCCGCCCCCGGCCCCGTCGGCCGCCCGCGCGCGCCCTCCCCCCAATCCCAGGCGGGTCCCGGGTACCCCCCCCCAACCCCCCCGGCCCTGCGCGCGCGCTCCCGCTCGCTTGCTCGCTCCTCCTTCCCCGCCCCACCCGGGCCCGCGTTACCCTGGGCAACTGCAGTGCGGCCGCACCTGAGCTCTGCGCCTGCGTCCCACCGGCCAGACCCTCCCTTCCCCTCGGTCCCGTCCCCTGCCCCGCCACAGCTGGGGGTGGGGGGGGCGTCGCCCCCTCCCAGTAAAGTGAGTATCGAGCGTCCTCCCCCGTCCTGCCTCTCAGACAGACCCGCCGCCGCCCCGGCGCCTCAGCCGTCAGCCCGGTCAGCGCGGCCTGGCCTCGCCGCCCCGGCCCTCGCTCCCAGCGTGCACCGCGGCGAGCGCTCGGGTGGGAGCCGGCGAGATGCGTTCGGCGGGCGGCGCCCACTGACCTCCCTCGGCCGCCCGGCCGGGGCAGGGCCGGAGCCGGGAGCCAGCCCCGCCCGCCGCCCCGCCCATGGGCCGCCAGCCCCCGCAGCCGCCCGCCGGGAGGACCGCGCCGAGGGGGGGAGCCGCCTGAAGGACCGCGACGGCCGCGCCCGCAGGTAAGGCGGGGCCCGAGGTGTGACCGAGTCCAGCCCCGCTCACCTGGCCGTACCTCTGGGGAAGCTCTGCGGGCGCCAGCGGGGGAGGGGGCACCTGTCGGGACAGGAATTTATTTAGGGCTGTTTTAAAAGCCCTCTCTGCAGCGGGTGGGGGTCCTCGCGTCTCACCCCCAGGGCTCGGCGGTGGGGAAGGGTGTCCCCTTGAGGAAACAGCGGTGGCGGGGGAGAGACAAGAAAAGGTGGAAAGGAGGGCAGAAGTGAGGCGCAGCGACCCCGCGCCCGCTGCCTGCAGCGTTTTCCAGCCGGTTATGGGGAAGGGGTGCCGTTGCCAGGGCTCCAGTCCAGGCTGCGGACCATCCGCACCGCGCACCCAAGCCAGTCCGAGGGGCAGGAGCGGCCAGCCCAGGGGCTGTCCGACCATCCCTGGGGTGGGTTTGTAGGGAGAGGGATCCGCATTGCAGGTGCACCAGGAGCGCCCGAGGGCCTGGCCGTGCTTTGTCTGGGATGCTGTGGGGAGGCGGCCCTCTTCATCCAAATCTCCTTTTTAAATGCGTTTTACCATCCTCTGTACGTTAGAGACCCTCCCCGATAAGTTGCGTTGTCTCCTGTCCTAATAACCCTTTACGTAAGTACTCTACCTTACAGCCCTTTACTGAAGCTTTGGTGTGGGCTTTAGATGACCCTAAATAACGATTTGCTTGGAATTCATGAAATTGAGCATAATGCAAATATGCAGCAGAGCCGCAGGCTTGCCTAACAGAGCTGCTGTCTGCTACAGCGAGTTACTCCAGTTTACCTAACTTGCGTGTTCATGCTGACCTGTATTGCTTAAATCCACACTTCGATATTTAGCGATATGATCTATTCCAGCGATTGAAAATGAGGTAACCTAAGAGGAAATAGAGTCGCGCTCCGGAATTTAGCTTGCGGTAATAAGTCTTATTACAAAATACAAGCTCCGAGGCTGTAGTGCTTTAATACATTACGCATTTCCAGAAACCTACCTGTAAGAGTGGTAAAGCTAGAATTGCTGGGTCTTTCTTAATCAGGTTAAGTACGAGATATATATAAAGAACATTGTTATTGTTTTATTAAATGATTTTTTTTTTTTTGCACTGTCAAGAACGTGCCTGCATTTTCTTCCCGTTGAATTGTAAGGAAAAAGATGCTAACATTCAAAATGACTTTTATCCCCAAAGGTGTTTTAAATTTATTTCTTTTGGCTAAATGTTCATCTTCTATGAAATATTTTTGGGGAAAGGTTTTAAGACTTGTGATATGTATATATACTTATGTATATATGTATGTGTGTTTACATATACACACTATTGAAAAACCTTAAAATAGTTTTTGTTTCTCTGCGTCATAATTACTCAGTAAATTTAGTTTAGGTAGATTTAAAATATGAGATACAAAACAATTATTTGTGTGTATCAGATTTTTATTGTAGTACATGTAAATACATCAGTTTAACGGGCTTCTTGGAAAATATTGTTAATTCTTTTTTTTTTTTTAAGTGAATCCTTTTGCTTGCAATGGAAGATCACTTGGGTTCTTAACTCTTTCATCTGTGATTCATTGGATAAATTCATTTTAATGTCATTACTTAATTGGCAGAGAACATTTGCAGCAGTACTGATGTTAACGTTGATGCTTTTAAGAAATACTTAAGGGGCGCCTGGGTGGCTCAATGGGTTAAAGTCTCTGCCTTCGGCTCGGGTCATGATCCCAGGGTCTTGGGATCGAGCCTGAGTCGGGCTCTCTGCTCAGCGGGGAGCCTGCTTCCTCCTCTCTCTCTCTACCTGCCTCTCCGCCTACTTGTGATATCTCTCTCTGTCAAATAAATAAATAAAATCTTTAAAAAAAAAGAAATACTTAAAAAGCATTTTCTCATATGTCTAACAAGAAAAGACATGGGCCTTTTTCTTCTGTCTGGAACAAGGTCAGCCATAAAAAGTTCCTGATACATAGTGGGCACACATGTTTTAACTAAGATTAATTACATCTACTGGATTGGATATCTTTAAAAGTCAATGACTAGGTGCCTCTATATGCTTCACATGTTTGACTCAGATTCACATTCCAGACTAGTTAAGTAGGTGCTAGCTTAATAACACCAATTTTCACATCTCCAGCTTTGATGTTTAAACCTGCAGAGAAGTGAATGTGTCCTAATTGTCTTCAGATATTTAAGATTTGTCATGTAGCAAAGGGAGTGTATGTATTTAGAGTAATTCCCAAGTACAGAAGAGGCAAGTAGTATTTAGAGGAAGACAGATTTCACTTTGACATAAAAGCAGAAGTTGCTTATGATTAGAACCTCCAGCGGTGGAAACAAGGTGCTGTTCCTTCCCCCACAGAGTTTCCAGATAAGCCCGTTCCCCAACAGAGCAGGAATGGCTATTAGGAGTATCACATGGGGTGTGGGAGAGGTCTTCTGAGATGGGTGTTTAGGAATTCCAGTGGCAGTGAATTGAAGGTCTTTGTGGCTTTTTTTGTTTTGTTTTTCTAATGCTGGCTTCAGAGATACTGCTGTAGGCATAAGGACTCCCCAGAATGTGCCTGAACTCTTGGAAGATTTCTACCAGGGTAGAGGCCAGCCTGGTATCAGAGGTGATTTTAATCCTACTTTGCTCTTGTATGGGGCTTTACAGGTCATACAGCACTCTCACATTCAAAAGATTTTTAAAAGACTCTTTTTAATTATATGTGAGTTGTATTTCTTCCTTTGGCTTTTATTTTCTACAATAAACATTTAATTAAGAGGAAAATTACCCATTTCTAATAAGGCAAGCAGAAGAATGTTTTTTAAAGCTCTTTTTAAAAATGGGATGATGTCAGTCATTCTTTTCAGAGTCAGCAGGTTGTGAAGGTGAATAGATTTTCTTCTTAGCTGAAATTATTTTTTTAAAGATACTGATTAAGGGCTGATTCTTGTGCTTGCTCTGCATTTTAGTTTCTGTTTATTTCATTACTCAAACATGACTCAAATTTCACAGCAAAAAAAAAAGTCATATCCACCTACAGTAAATCGCATTGGATATGTCAGTGTTTTTTTTAAATATGTGTTGGCAGCTGAAGGTAAAACACAGCTGAAAGAAATACAATTACAATGTACTGAAAAGATTAGGTGAATTGGAGCTTTGTGTCTGAAGAAGAAAAAGATGTGTCCTATTTGTGCTAAATCAATCCTGGGAATGACAATTTGTCAACAATAGGATGATCTATCCATAGTAAGAAGGATTAGGCGGCTGTTGACTGTAAGTCACGATACATGTTTTAAATGGGTCGGTGGGGTTAGGACTGTCTGTAGCCAAGGGGCAGAGCAGAGCTTCCTGTGAACAGCAGAGCACCCGAACAAGTGTTCTCTGTACAAGGATTTAAGGGGAGCATAATGGTAACAGGCCGATTGAATTAAAACAGCATCTGACCCCTCTAGTTGAGGAAGAAGTTAGAAGGAAAACCAATCCTGAATTAATGTATATGTGTGCTTACTCTTTCAGAAACGTGTAGTTTCCTCTCTTTTGTTTTTTTAAGATTTTATTTATTTGAGAGAGAGAGAGAGAGAGAGAGCATGAGAAGGGAGACATCAGAGGGAGAAGCAGACTCCCTGCTGAGCAGGGAGCCCAACATGGGCTCAATGCCAGGACCCCAGGATCATGACCTGAGCCAAAGACAGAGGCTTAACCAACTGAGCCACCCAGGTGTCCTCTCTTTTGTTCTTTAACGCATGAGTTTGCCTCATGCTTTTTTTTTTTTTTAAGATTTTATTTATTTATTTGACAGAGATCACAAGTAGGCAGAGAGGCAGGCAGAGAGAGTGGGAGAAGCAGGCTCCCCGCTAAGCAGAGAGCCTGATGTGGGGCTCAATCCCAGGACCCTGAGATCATGATCTGAGCCAAAGGCAGAAGCTTAACCCACTGAGCCACCCAGGTGCCCCTGCCTCATGCTTTTTGTGCCGGTTTATCCCCAGCTGAATTTGGGTATGATCATTTAAATAAGACGAAGACACAAAGTTTAAACACGGAATACATTTTTATTTATACTTTATGCATGAAGGGAAAAAGAGAAGAACATCAAGTTCCTCTGGCCAGCCAAAAAATAAAGTAAGAAAGTCTTACGAGTACTTAGTACTTCAAAAAAAAAACATCCAAGAGGCTACTTTAAATATTATGACGAGGTCAACAAATTATCAAGTAAGGCACCCAGTTAGAAAGCACCCTTTTTAGAGGTCAAAGGTTGCCTTTTAGAGCTCCTCACTAGAGTGTCTGAGGCCGTCACACAGCAGTCTAAAAGCCTCTTTGTTAACTAGAAAACAGGA